CTATTTATTTACGTACTAAGGCAAATTTTCATTCCATCTTGGGTTTCATTAGCGTTAGTGCAACAGTAAATCCGTTGACAAAAGGTTACACATTCATTTTAGTTTAGCAGCCGAACTCTATCCTATGGAATTCTCCGAATACTCAACAAAGTTCAAGTAAATAACTAGGGAGATATAAATCGTACAATTGAGTTTACTTGTTCACAAATCATCTAAAAGTAATTTACCTGCAAATGGACTTCTCTTTTCTTGTTACTCGCCGAAGGAGGTTTTGGAAGTGACCATCATAGACAAAGCACATTGTCTATGGTGACCATGGCAAATTCTTTTGTACAAGAATTGATATTTGAGAGCTGACAACTGCGCTACTTTTTAGAAGAAGGAGAAAGCTGTCTGCGCCGTCTCAATGTCACGAACGCTCTTTACGTTACAGTCATCTTAATTTGAGCTGTCGTTAAGAGAGCATCGCATGTTTCTTGTTGTATTGTGTTATTTAATGCAAGTAGGAACCTTTGCATTTATTTATAATTTATATGTGTTTTGTATACAACATTTAATTTTTTTTTAATAATTGCAATTCTTTGTGAGTTAACCTTTATGCTGGATCACGTGCGTATGAAAAATGTGGTTACCTTTTATCGTACGAAATCGTTATCATTATTCATTTTTAGTGGCAATATTTGCTCAATGTATATTTAGTTGGGTGGCCATAGTTAATAATTCGCAAGTCTAACGGCATTTAATGAGCCATTTGCGTTTATAAGGGTAAAAATGTCTGCTGAACCCGAATTCGAATGTTGCCAAGCTGATTTTTGGCTCATTTCAAAATAGCGGCCAATATGGCGGCCAAATACATAAATTTTAATGCCAGACGCATTTTACATAGTTTTTCGGATTGAGGTGTTAAAAAAACATACAGGAAGCACACAAAATTGCAAAACTTATATATTGGGTACATTATATACAGACAACAGGGTAAGAATATAGAGATAATTCTGACGGCAAATGTATTACCTATATTTAGTTCCAAAAATTTTAGCGGAACTTAAATTACTTCATCATTCTGCTCATTTTTTACGATTGAAGCAGTCGCAAAGATACTTGTAGATATTTGTGCACTTTTAGATCATAGCACAATTTATTTAAAGCCAAGTTTTTAGGAGGACTAATCTGACCATTCGATTTTTCAGTGTCCCTTATCGCATTTGCGAGAAAATATGTATGGTACAAAATGTCCCCGGCAACAACATAATGAGAAGATGCAACTCTACGCCCTTCTGTACCCACTGCATCCAATGTAAGTTTCCATAAGAGCGTCCGCCTAAAAAACTCAAGTTGTTTTTGAAAAATAAAATGTTATATTAATAATATATAAATTTTATATTTTATAAATTTAGACCTTTATCTACAAAATGTTCGGACTATTTTTTTAAAATAGCTTTATAGTTTTTTATTTTTTATAGCTTTTTTAGCTTTATAGTTTATAGCAAAGTAAACCGACAGTTTTCTAGATAAGTTACTTCTGAACATTACCCCAAAAAATGAAATCATATTTTTTGTAAATAAAGTCTGTATCTTGGTGGGCGGTAAATAACAATTTGAGTGTAGCAAGTGGCGCCGCTGCACTGTGTTGGGGGGAACTGAGGGGTAAACCACCTAGTTAATTCTGTGTACAAATAGTAGTTAATGAATTAAAATTAACTTTTAATGTAGTTAATATGTTCTGTAAATGCAGTTAATTTCAAGTTAATTCAGTTAATGTAATTTAATGTGGTTAATGCTAAGTTAATGTAATTAATTTACATTTAATGCCATTTAATACTACTCGAGATACTACTATAGGTAGTGGCTATAGCATGTGAAAAACCAAATTTTGAACCTGGTGTTAGATTTGCTTTTATTCCAAGTGCCTATGTATCAAATTTTAATTAAATACTTTCATAAATAAAAGATTTTGCAATTCAAAAAGGGCACTGTGAATGTAGAATTGATTAGGCCCAACTTTTGGCATTGTGTATTATATGGCTAAAACTATGCCCTCGACTATGCCCATATTTAATTTCATGCAATTCGGTTTATAACTAACGGAGATGTCAAAAAGGGCCTTCTTTATTTTTTTACGTACATTGCCAATTCACGAACTCCGATCTATAACTCTGATAAAGAATCCAAATGCAAAATTTCATCATAATCGGCGGTCTATTCGTTTTCGAGGTATCGTGCTAATGTCTCGGGATCTCGGGACAGATGGACAGGCACCGCAAAATTATAAACTCTCTACGTCCTAGGAGATCGTCAATAATTTGAAAATGTTGGTTATTTACAATATTTTTGCTATAGTGTTTTATAAAGAATTTAATAACCTGTCATATTATGTAATAATACACAGGGTGTTCCATATCAAAGTCACATTTTTGTTATCATCTGAAAAATGCGATGTGGTTTTGTTTTTTTAAATGCAGACTTGAATTCATTGGAAAAAATACGCAATTTTTATTTATATATATTTATATATATGTATAGTTGGAAAAAACCTAAATACTTACCAACGGTTATTAAAAAGCACAAAATTTAAGAACAAACAAAATTTGCCGAGGAAAATGTAAAACACTAATTTAATTAATTCACAGCTTTTTTGGGACACCCTATATATCACCACAGGATATATTTTCCTACATTTTTTCGAACTAGCTATGAAGGTAATTAACCATCTCTTACGTATATATAAGTAATAAATTATGGAAAACAATTTAATACTAAATAGTACACAATACAATAGATAGTGGCGCCATCGTGCTGTATTTGTGAACTAGTGCAAAATTCGGCCTGGCAACATCCAGAATCGGATTCAGCACATTTTTTTACATCTAAAAAACCATGTGGCCAAAATGGCTCATAAAATGCCGTTAGAACTAAGAAACAGCGAGTCGTTTTTCGATTTGGCCACTTAACTAATTTGGTCATTCATTTAAACATGTGGAATGTATCGAATTGTTTGATGTGCACTGATTTGTTGTTAATAAACTTCGCTCTAAAGAAGCAGTCACAGGGATATGAATTCATATGAATACTGTAACCTAACTGGTTACGACATCGAAGCCTGTCATTGATTTCGAATCTCAACTATAGGTTTGGACTGTCCCCACGAGGACCAAAGTTACCCGTCCCATGGTGAATTGTCTTGAACGTTGACATTTTCACTACCTACCTATTGCTTGATTCGAGATTATTGACTATTAAAAATAACTTATCAAAATGCGAAGACTTATTCAATATACGAATTACACTAGGTACTACCGTCAGTATCTTATTTAGCAAAAAGAAGAGGAAGACCAAGAACAACATGGAACGACAGAATCGCACAATTAACATTACAGAAGAAATGTCTATCATAGAAAAAAGCAATTTTATTGTAAAAACAAAAAAAAACAGCACCGGAAACCTGAACTTTTATCTCGAATCAAATGGTATAATGGATGTGAATAAGAAACGTGGGTTTTTCTTCTGTAACGCAAATTCGGAACCGTATCGTACGTGGTGCGCGTGATGAATCGCTTGTTGGCAGAAGCGAAATTGACATTTCAGATGGCATTTTACACAGCGACAGCGGCCGAAAATGCCACATGCCAGGCAGGGGTTGGAACCGGAACCGAAAAAAACCGGTACCGGAACCGGTGGCAATGGCATTTATGAATCCCACACTTGGAACGGGAACCGATGTTTAAGAAGTTGTGATAACCGGAACCGATATCGATACCGTTATATTACAGTGCCAAAGAACCGGTATTTTCCTCTCTCGTCTGGTGGGGTAGACACGCATTCTGAGAAGGAAATACGGTTTATACTGGTGCCCTTAAAAAGTGTTAGTGTTAAAAACTTTTCTTAGATTTTTAAGATTAGAAAGCGTTAATAAATTAATTTTTTATTAATGAAGAAAGTCTGTGTGTAAACTTTTGCCATTAAAGAGATTGATTGATAGGGGTTATTAATATGTATCACTTACTTATTGTACTTGTACTGAAATTTATAAGATGTAAATTTATAACACGAGCGCGAATTTCACTATTAATCATTTCCGCATTGATATTGGAACTTCTATTAAACACAATTCAATTTGTTTATAATAGCAAACGAAAAGCTTCTAGAGAATCCTAGAGTCAGCATATCATACTTCCTGGAAAGTACACGTCATATACGATTTCAGTCCTTATCGCCACGCCGGTGGCTAATCCTTTATCGATTTGATGACCAAGATAAAATCTTGCCTAAACTTAACGGGATTGACTAAAGAAGGATATTGGGATATCCTACTCAAGAAATATTAACTACGTTGGTTGAATGGAGGTCAATGTATTTACGAAATAGGATATATATGTCTCAGGCATATCGACAATTAAAGGTGGATGAAGATTCAGCAAAATTACAAACCATAATCACTCAGAGGTACCGATACAAGGTCCACAAACTTTGTTTAGGAGTCAAAATGGCATCGCAATGTACAATGATTTCATTAAAGATCGTTTGGCCGGATGCTTCCCATACTTTGATGGCGTTTTGGTTGCCGCTGAAAACGATGAGGAGTTGTGTGAAAGGATTGAAGAAATTTTCCGCCGATTGGCAGATGATGGACTCGAATTAAATAAATCCAAATGCGTTTTTAAGACTACAGGCATTGATTTTCTGGGATTTTCCATCAACGCAAAGGCAGTATGTCCTACTGTTGACAAACATTTAAGTAGTATCATAATATAACACATATACTATGGTAGTAGTAGTATGAATCGCTTCGTGCCATGGTAATAAAACGATTAATTTATAAACACCCTGTATATCGTACGTTTCTATTTCACGTTGGCGCGAAATTCGTATTACCATATCGTTGCATCGTGATTCGGTGAGTGAAAGTAGAGGCTATGCGAAATACCCGAAACGCATGCAAGTGACGAAAGTAAGTTGTTACTTAATAGATAATTACATAATTGTAAGATGACGTACTTTAAGATTCTACGTATCCGTTATAAATAGTTAGGACAATTTTTGAGTGGGTTTTTTTGAATTTTTCTTACAGTGCCCTGCATAATCGGCTAGTGTTACGTCAATAGTGAAAATATTAAAAATGGTGGATTGTAAAAGTGTAGCATTTTAAAGTATGTATAGCACTTTATTAGCAGTAATTGTAACACGTAAGGTTTTAATTACGTTGTGAAGTACTTTAATGATGTCATAACTCGAGCAGAAGTGTAACCTTATTTACTGATAACGGCTTTAACGCTATCTTGCTCAATTTCAAGGTTGCCATTTGGGGGTCAATTTATTGATTGTGTGTCTTGTGTGCAAAATATAAACATTTAGGTATAACAGCTTTAATTTTTCCAGCTGATTTTACATGCATCACAATGACAATGCAACAATATTGCCTGCGATGGAACAACCATCAACCCAATTTTATCTCCGTGTTTTCTAGTCTACTAAATAATGAATCGTTGGTCGATGTTACTTTAGCAGCTGAAGGACGGCACCTACAAGCGCACAAAGTTGTACTATCCGCATGTAGTTCTTACTTCCAGGTGAGAATATGCTAAATGCCGAGCTTAACTAACTGTCTTTAATTTACAGTCTCTGTTCACAATTAATCCATGCCAACATCCGATAGTTATTTTGAAAGACGTTAAGTTTTTAGATTTAAAAGTGATGGTCGATTTCATGTATTACGGCGAAGTTAACGTTTCCCAAGAGCAATTGCCGCACATCTTAAAGACGGCTGAAATGTTGAAAATTAAAGGTACCGCTTACTGTTTGCAATTCCGTTGTAAATCTAAGTTTCGTAGGCTTAGCGGATATTCCAGTAGATCAGTCGGCCTTGACGAAGTCGCATAACAGCTCGACGGATCGAGCGGAACTTCTGACGCCCGGCGATTCCAACTGGAGTTCCGACGAGATACAGCGACATTCGTTGTCTCCCTCTCCTTGTCCCTTATCGCCGGCCAGCAAAAGGTATCGTTACAATTTTGTTTCGTGATTTAATAGAGTTTCGTCTAGGAAAAGATTAAGGAAAACGTCGACGGGTTCTGGGTCGGGATCGGCCGAAAGGACGTCAGAAGATCACCCACATAGTGAGGTTACGTTAACTTCTCCGGGGGGAAGTACTCTCGCAACTGTGATAAAGGCGGATCCTGGGGCTTTCACGTCTGAAAACAGTACGCCGATTCGAAGTAAGCAGCATAGCAGTGAGTCTGAGCTGCATCGGGGGAGTTCACATGAGAGCGTTGATTGTGATCCGCCTCTTCAAATTACATTGGTAAGAATTTGTAAAATTTTAGTGAGTTAATTGTACAATTTTAATATTTTTATACACCCTGTATATTTTCACATTTTCAAATATACACTGTGATCCCTTAAATGTGCAATAGGTGAATTTTTTTCATTAATTCAAAGTAACAGTGAGTGAGGATAAAATTGATTGGGCTTTTATAAAAAGTTTTTTTTGTAAAATCAGGAAGAGCGTACTCAAAAGTCTATCCGTTAATTCCATCCTCGAAATAGATTTTGAAACCCAAAATAACTACTCTATCTAAAACTATGCCTTTTTGATCTATCTGTAGAACCATTGGTCAGACAAAAAATTACAAGAAGCTCAGCGCTTTTATTATAATTGTTAACGGACGCCCTGTATATTTTTCAAAAATTTTCAAAATCTCAGTTACCATAACAAAACAAATTGCTATTATTATTGATTATTAATTCATATATTATTTTTACTCTGGAAATTACTTTTTTCTGTCTCATAAAAAACGCACTACACGCTCTCTAAATATGCGGAATAATCCTCTACAGTCCGGACTCCTCCCGCCTTCTAAATTGGAGATGGTTTAATACTGCGACTGCGCGCCATTTTGAATTTTTTTTAAATAGAGGTTAGGTTTTACCTCATTATTATTTATGGTCACGTAAACTAATTTTAATTTTTATGTATGAAGAAGTATCTATCTTCTAAAGTTTTTTTAACAGTTGTAGTGTACTTAACCCCCAGGTTCTACGCTAACTTCATCTACAACACGGAAATAAAGTCAACCCAGCAACGTTTAAAAATGGCCACCCGAATGAAGATTCTCTCCAAAATTAAACAATATCCCAGTTAAATTTGAAATGTGGCACTTGATAAAACATTAAGGCAGAGCCCCCTTACGTTAGTTGTAAACAACGCTTTGACCTGAAGCACAGTAGGGAAGGAACGTAAAATAAAACACTCAAATTGTGAAATGTTTGTTTAATAATGATCGCAATTATTAAGATTGTGAAAGCTCGAAAATTTAAGTCCAAATAAATTACATTGCAAAAATAAACTTTGAAAATGGTAGTTCACCGAATAAAAATAGAAATAGGCTGGTAAAAAAAGAACTAACCAATAAAAAGAACCACCCATCAAATTAATATCAAATTGTGTTGTAAAATTAATTGTTTGTAATGATGTGAATGCGTAACATAAGATTATAACATCACAAAAAGTAGCAGGTAAACTTCAAGAGGTAACATATAGGTTAAAAACAAGTTTAGGGAATTATGGGTCAGGTAAGCAGGTACCAAGATTCTAAGAAAGGGTGAAATACACAGGATGCGACTCATCTTTGGTGCAATAAAGTCATTTTGTTAAAAACAAGATGGAAAATTACATGGCCTTGTAGGTAAATTTAACTAAAGACGAAATATATGGAAATTACGAATTGTAACTCATTTATCGCACATAGATCCTAAACTGAAGAGTTTTGATTAACATAATCTCGCCCCCGCAAGATAGGTAGAGTCGCCCCTCGTTCGGGGTTTCGAGCCTACAGTTGAATGTCGAAGACAATCACGGAATTAGGTCGTGGTTCAATTTTAACTACTGTTTTCAGCACCCCCGTGACTGCTTCATTCGCGGAGAAAAATGTTGGTAACAAACAACAAGTCAGTAATTTCCACATATTAAAATAAAATGATCAATAAACATAAATTAAGCAAACATTACACCAAAAACGTAAACAATTACAAACAAAAGGATAACCGCGGTATTAAACATTTTCTGCATTGCGGTTAAACCAAGTAAATTTCAAAAACAAAAATTGAAACATACAAAAAGTATAAAATGCCGCATATAAAACACAAATACGATATAAAGAAATGCAAAAATGACTACCTGCATTAAATAACTCAAAATAACAAACATTTATGGAGTGACGCGTTCACGACCGCCATTCAAGACAAGATGCCAAACGTAACCCACGTTCCTGCTTTCTAGATGGCGCAGGCAGCTTTTCCCCACTAAAGTCCCTATACTGCATTCATTATAAGAAGGTAGTAGATGGCGCTGTGTTTGAAGATAAACACACACAGGAAAAATATAAAACGGCACCAAATTATTGTAAAGTAGAAATATTCAACACTGCGAACAGAAATAAACCTTTGACAATAACAGCTAATGACCCTTCGGCAGTTGAGTTGGCAACATAAACTACCACCTTACAAAATTCATCAGTAGTTTTATGTTTCATTGTAATACTGACTCATGTTTTAACCAATCACAGTGAAGGTCAAAGCTTCCCTATGCTTTCTACCGCTACCTTCTTAAAATGAATACAGTATAGATGGACTTTATTCCCCACTTAGAAATTGCATGGTTGCCAACTCTCAAAAATGTATGTATCGTCGTAGTTGTATATACAGGGTGGAACCTCTCACAATCTTAGTTTTATAAACAATAAATCTTGACGAAACAGCATTTTGGCTGGTGTTACAGTGGTGGAAGTAAATAGTTTAGGTTTAAAATATCAGCCCCCAGGTAAAGTTGAACTTCTTTACTCCTAGGGAGCAAATTTCATTTCAAGCGCAGAAACCAACATATAATCTTTGCAGACAAAGTGTTTTTAATAAAAAAAAAAACTTGTATGATTAGGTCGTATAGTGAGGGGAATTAAGATTTTTTATTGGGGGAGCTATTCCCCTGAAATATTAACTGTAAACCTGCTCAATCAAAGTAGGTACAACAAAAACCATATAAAAAATTGGATTACTTTACTACACTGAGCCATCTTTCCTATTTATGGAGAGACTTGTTAAATGCTCCTACGATGGAACCATGGTACTATAAATGATTTGTCGTTTTTTACTGGATGGATGACAATGATTAACAATAATGTTTGTTGCAGCAAGTTCCTCAACAAGATACATCCCATAACTTGGACAGTCAAGCGCCTCTGGAGATTGCCGGCCCATCAGCAGTTCCTCAACAAAATTCAGGTATGCATTCATTTCAATTTTTAATGGCGCATTTTTTCGTAATTACGAACGCCGTTTATAAACAATTTGTTTGTGAGTGAGAGTGATATAGTTAATAGTGCAATCAACAGCAACAGTGAACTTTACCGCAACCCTTCCTCTGTCCCCGTTTTGGTAGTAGAGGCTTAGCTCAATTGATTTTTGTTTTCATTATAAATGCCTTCTTGATCCGATGTTCTTGAAATCAATCACGTTCACTTTTGCAGTTGAGCTCTGCCTTACCAGAACGTCGCTTAACCAATTCTTCCTTGCAGGCTACCAGTGGGGCGTTGTCGATGGAAATTACCCGCGTTTCGCCGCGCTTACGCCGTGCCAACCGCACGTAACCTTACCGACCGAAATCAATTACGCTCCCGCATCCAATTTATCCCAGTGCTCTGACAGTAACACGCCCACGTCCGTTGACGATACTCTAACGAGTACGATTAACACGGATCACATTGCGAACTCGCCGCCGAGCAGCCAAAAGCGTAAGAGAAGCATAAATCCGCAGGCGGACGAGAACTTTGTGCGCGCCCTGGAGGCAGTACGGTTCGGCGGAATCGGTTTCTGTAAGGCGGCTAAAATGTACGGCGTCAATAATCGGACGCTATGGCTGGAGTACAAAAAACGCGGCTATCCGAATCATAGGATAAGTATTAAAAATCGTAAACAGGAATTCATTAATCCACCGTCACTGTTGAGGGCACCCGAAAGTCCGGTGCCTGTGCCACCTGTTAGTGAAGTGAAAAATCAGATGATTTGTTCAAATCCCGACAGTGGCATTGTGGCTGGCAATTACATAGACAGTCGACATGTGGATTTAACCCCATTTTTACAGAGACATTTAGACACTGTTAATGTTAATGCACAACAGCCACTCGGCTTGTCTGCAGTGAGTTTTGAACATATGTAAATTATCTCTATTTTGAAAATGGTGCCATTTTACTACCTATAGTGACGCATTTCGTTACACAATTTTTAAATACTTGAAGTGGTCTTTTTTCGTAAAAGTTGAATTTGTTGTATATGTTTTCTTTTTGTAATATATCGTATTGTTGTTAATAATTACTAAGATAATTTTTTAAATAGCGGAATATCTGCACTTTATATTGTAATATCTTATCCTGTTCTGCCATGTTCATCATTGTAATTTTTACACCTAGCACATTGCGTTTAATTATTTATATTTATTTACATTAATTTGTTGCACATTTAGCAGTGATAAATCTGAGAAAATTGTACTTTTTGTGACACAAAAACACAGATTTTACAATGATTAAATTTGTTTACGACACTAAACAAAAGTGGTGTATTTTCAAGCCTTTAGTTGCATGGGTATTACAGAGTACTCTTACCCTTTTATTAATACAAAAAAGTTTCTTATTCTTAAGTGAGCGGTGTTTCAGTCAAGGCTGTTCTATGAACCCAGCCCACTATACACTTACAAAAATCCGTGTCCAGGTTCGAATCCAGCAAGCAGATGTTGGCACTTCTTCTTCCCGCATAATTGCAGGGCCCGCTCTTCTACACAGCCGTCTTCATCTCTTCCAGTACATTGCATCTTCTGGTGCGGCGCTAACTACCATCATATCCTCGCCAAACCGGTCCATCCATCATTTCCTAGGTCTACCGCGGCGGCGTTGACCAGGTGGATTGAGGCGCATCACTGTGTTGCCCACAGAGTGCTCGTCACTGCGCATGGCTTGCCTGTACCATCCAAGTCGCGCATCTTCTCAAATGGCGCCACTCCCAAGCGTCTACTGATGTCAGTGCTCCTGACGTGGTCGAATTTTGTTAGGTCTAAACTCCATTGAAGCATGCGCATTTCCATCAAGTGAAGTGCGCCCTCGTGCTTCGCCAATGCTTGGATCTGTAGTGCGAAATCGGCCGGACTTGTAGACTTTCGCCTTAAAGTTGCACTTTCATTTGCCGATTGCATAAGACGCTTGTGACTTGGCGCCACTTCGTCCATGCCGCGTTGATTCTGGCTCGACGTCGTCGCCGTCACTGCTGATAGTGGAGCTGAGGTATTTGCATTTGTTGACCTTGCATGAAATTTGGTATGAATACTGTTTTATTTTAAAATGCCGGTCATTTAAAAAGTTTAATATGGTCGCCGTTTTCCATGATGGCGGCACATATTGACTATCATCAGTGGTAAGTATCTTTCAAATGATGGTAGATGGTACTACCATGAAATTTGGTATGAATATTGAACGGTTCCGGGTATTGTTTTATATAAAAACACTGGCCATTAAAAAAATTTCAAATGGCCGCCGTTTTTCAAGATGGCGGCACAGTTTATTGAAAGATACCACTAATGATAGTTAATATGTGCCGCCATCTTGAAAAACGGCGATCATATTAAATTTAGTTAAAGTCCAGTTTAGTGAAGTAGTACCTGCTGCTCCCGTTGTGTCCGTGTATTTTTTATAGGGGCCCCATTCATGCCTTGAATATAAGTTAGCGAGGATTGCGACGAACTTCGGTAGTAAATCCGCGCACAAATGGCATGAAAAATGATTATAATTTAATTTTCAAGAAAAAGAAATAAATTTACAAATTATATTCACTAAGTCATGAGAATGGACGAAAGTAGCGGCAGTCGACGGCAACCTGGGTGTTCTGTCGGCGGAACAGACGGACTCGAACTCCACGAGTCCCTGGTCAAGGTCGCCGGTAGCAGTGGTTTGGCGGACGTAACTTGAAAGATGCAAGAGACAAAAAGATACCCCACACGACTGTGGAATGACGTTTACTGCAACACAATTGGTCGATTGAAATTTCTAAAATCGGTAGTCCAACTAACCTATTGTTAATTGGATATATATTTCCTCAGGTCGGCAAAAAGGTAGCTTATCAACCTGATAACGGCTCTGCAGTTTTAATACTCGTTTTAATTAACACAGAAAACCAATATCATCTAAATAATTTTAATGGAGGTGAAATTCAAAAACATTAATTCGCCCTCGTTTTCTAAATTACAAGTGCTTTTGGGCGCAACAAAAACAATTGAAATATCTTGACGGGAACGGTTACAAACGGCAACTCTAGAAATCAAAACTTAACTCCTATCTTCAACTCCTAAATGCCAACACAAATATTTTTGGCACTACACTTCTCAACGAACCTCCCAACTTTAAACGCTTCTAGATACAGAGTGCTCATATACAGAGTATTTACCAAAACGTCAAGTGGGAAAACGGGGCTTCATTACAGGATGAGGCCTCTTGCATGTCTCCGAAATGGAATTATAGGTTAAAATGGGAGCCGTCCTCTATTTTTTTCTCTTCATTCAACTATACGATTTCTAAAGCTTCCGTAGCTCTGACGGTACTTTCGCGCTGGCTTTTTATCTCAGGCATTGTGGGTTCGAATTCCAACGCCTATCCAAGAGATTCCCAACAAAATGGTGAATTTAAAATGGCAGCGGATCCAAGATGGCGGACCACACCTTCCGAGCCCGCTGCCTAGTATATATTTACCCGAAGTTAAACTGTTAATTCTTTATTACTCCTTTGATAAATTTCACTCAATAAATTCACGTTTTGGCTCAAACAGTGTACGTGCTCACAAAATCATCTTCGAATCTAATTTTTTAACGCATCCAAATAGTACGTTTCGGCTCGCCAACACTAAGCACTCTCGCTCTCGCACTTCTTTCGCTCCCCCACGAGAAAAACCGAAAAGGGACTTATACCTGAACGCGTGCCGGCGTACCCTAAAAACCAATAGAAAACCCGCATTTTTGTCACGTGGTTGGCTTTAAACAGAACGGAACAAAACTTTGAGGTCCCAAGATATCGTAGCAAACGCGCTCGCTTTACGTAATACGTTTCTTGTTATCGCTGGTTATCGCCATACTACATACTTTCTTTTACGTTCGCTATGAAGCGGTACATGTGTAAATTTTCCTATGCTGAACAAAATACAAATTTGAAACAAACACTTTTAATTTTAAAGCAACCACCCCTTACAATAATTTGGAGCAGGTTACATGAGATCAGTTAACGTACATGGTTCATAGTATTGAGGTTTATGCACAATGTGCCATTCTTGTGACAGTACAATGTGAGGTGTAGGTATAACACATTTGTGGAATGACAAGTCACAACCGAAATTTCTTGCACTGTTACATTTTCGGTTTCAGCATCATCACAAATCTTTCCTTCCAGTAAATATACTCAGGACACTGCATTCTTCAAATTATCATCGACTTAAATTAAGTATGTATAGGTGCCTTTTTAGCACATTTTAATTAGAGACTCTTTAAGACTATTTACTCTACAATTTAACCCATGCGCTCAAAGTTTGATGTAAGCTCTCCTACAGAAACAGTAGAGAAAATTAGTTTTGTAAAAAAATTACACATATGAAAATCTGAATAAACACAACTTGAACAAATATTTGTTTCGCTGCTTTCGATAACCTAACTTCAATTTTCCTGTATTCTGTCCTTATTTATTCATTTACAGTTACTCAACTTAGGGTATTAGGTTGACAACAATGCTTAACAACTATGGTTTCAACTTTCAGATAGAACAAACGCTACCATTCAGCAGTCCACACAGTCCAATCAGGTGGTAATGGGCACGAAACGTGGACGTTTCTTGATGAGACAACCGCGAATCAAAAGAGAAAGCGATCCCAGCCAAACTTCAGAGACTGATCCTCTCTCATTACAAAATTTATTGGCGCCGCCCATTCGAATGGAACGCCAGTGTTCAGATCCGCTACCGTCGATATCACCGCCACCGGGAAATTTACTGACCGTTCCGGGCACATTAGTAAAACAGCATTCGCATCCCCTGCTGCCGAGCGAATTGCAACAGGTGCGTCTTATTTAACGGTACTACAACGTCTCTATCTCCATTTTTATAGCAGATACAGATCACGCAGCCGACACCTTTACATATACACATTATACAGGGCACAAGTCAAAGTGAATCCGATCGATCGCCGAGCCCCATCGTCGTAGTGTCCGAATCCTTTAGCTCATCGCAGGAGGTGACGACCGCGCGGAGCGATTCGGGCGGAGTGGGACCGTCTGCGACCGCCACTGCTACTTTGCGAGTGCGAACTGACGAACTGAAGCGAAGCGTCTCCTCACCTCAGGTAACTACTGTTGACATTTTGATAGCCACTGCTCGCACTTGCGTTTGGAGTTGTTTAACAGGTCTACAGACTTCATCAGTTCCTTTTCCTGGTTGGCGGTATCTTCTTCAAGATCGGACGCTGAATCCGGTCTTGGTGGAATTTTTTCATAGAGGGAGTAATCGATTTCCACCTGTGGTATGTCGGGGAAATTAGCCGGTTTTATGTGCTCATTTTGAATTCTTTTTATGTCTTCTAGTTTTTCCGTCGTCATGTTGTCTCCCATCTGAGAACAAAAGTTGCATTTTCTTAAGTAGTTATATGAGGCCGAATCTGGCTCAGTTCAAGGTCGTTCGCCACGTGGTGGTGACTTTGGAAGATAGGTCAAGAGAGAAAGTCGCGTCCCACGTGGCTATGACTTTATAGTGAAGGCCAAGGGCATTTGCTTTCAAGGTCATCGGCGATCAATCAACCCATTTTTGTGATTTGATGAATTTTTATTTTGAAGATCATCAAAGTTCAATGACCTCATTTTTTTGTCCCCGCTCTCTTGCAAAGTGTGTTACCTTGAAAAATCTATCAAGGTAAAGCTGCAATCAATCTCGCCCTCAAAGGTCAATGACCTTATTTTTTGTTGGGTTCAGGATTAATTCACCAAAGTCATTAGGCCCCATGTTGCTAAGCCGAACACCCGGAAGGTACGATTTTCCGAGCGCAGCTGCAGCTGCTGCACTACTCTGTTAAAAGTACCTCTAAATTATTATATACACGGGCATAAAATAAAAATATTTCAAAAACGAACATAGGCAATTAACATGGGAAAAAGGTTTTTTGCAGATCGTTGCTCCCCATGATAATTTAGGTCTTAGCGGGTTTATAATGACACCAATCGAAAGAAGATTTTTTTTCTTTATCTAATGATATACGAATTAGTTCATTTTCAGTTGTATTTCTCATTATTAACGATCCTCGAGATTGTTTATAATTTTGTATTGCTGTCTGTCCGTGTGCACGATAACTGATAACTGAATAACTTTGTATAGAGTCCGATCGCTTTGAAAATTGAAACAGCTGTTCTTCAGGATATAAGAAAAGTCGCTATTGTTTTTCGGCTACGTAGACTAACGGGACAAAAAATTACAGC